ATTAATAATTAAAATATAATTATTTTAAATATATTATTATCTAATGTAGTTTGCTTTTCCCCATTATCCTGTTTTTTTTAGCTCTAATGTTACTCATTTTCATTTTTTCAAGTAGGTATACCTACATACATATGTATATGTATATATATAGTATATAAGTATGTATATAATTTTTTTATAATACATAATAGGTAATAATTTATATAAAGTTGTGCCCAGTGGAGTAAGTACATTAAAAAAAGTTGTGTTCAGTGTTAATAGGGGCCCCCTAAAGAGCCTCTTTAACTACTCCGGATTACAAAAAAAATGCAAGGGGCCCCTTTGTGGCTCCAAAAGCTTGGGGGCCTGTGTTCCTGGAACACATGGAACACCGGTAGTTACGCCACTGGTTGTGCCAATTTTATTAATGAAAAATAAAAATTTTATATTTAATATAAAGGTATATCAACATTTTTATATATCTATAAATTAATCATATTTTCAGAAAATTATTTATATTTTTGAATAGGTACCCCAATTTTGGATCTAAAATGAAAATTTTTTTAAGCAATTAACTTATACATTTAAATTCAATAATTTTATTTTCACTTTGTGATTTTCTATTTTTATTTATACCCCATTGATACATTTTATTTTAATCAAAGATTTTTATTCTTTTTTTGCCAAAAAATATATTATTTCGTTCGAAATTCGTTTCATTTCATGTCTAATTTTGGAAGTACGATATTTTGCACATAGCATTGTACATTGAGTTTAATAGTAGTAATACCCCTCCCTTATATAAGTTAGGTAATCCCTCGGAACGTTTTCGAGATTTTGTGGATATCGTGGCTTACTACGATTATATGCCAATATATTTGCTGGCAGCCATGATGAGTGGTGACAGCCAGATTGTAGCTGAGCTTAATAAGTTAAGAAAGTACGATCTTATTGAGATTTTAACATCAATAAAGGTACCACAAGGATGTTCAAGTAGTGAGGTGTTAAAAAGTTATGTAGGTGGACTATTTCCGGAAGAGTATGAGTGTAAACAAGATGAATGTGAAAAAAAAAGTTGCATCAAAAATAAATGTGAAAATTCCTATTTAAATAAGGAAATTCAATTGCTAAAACAACTAGAATATCAAGTGGAAAAACGGGTGAAAGACCAAGAGGAAATTATTAATTTACTAAAATTAAACAAAAATATACAAGAAGAGACATCTATAAAGCAATTAAAGAACAAAGTAGAAAAACCATTCAATGAAATTGTTAAAGAAGCAAAAAAAGGAGAAGAAAGAAATCAAAACAATGCAACTGTCAGTGAACCTAGTGTAAGCGAATTAAATGTAAACAATAAAATAAATGAATTTAAAGAAGTGTCGTACAAAAAAAATGATAATAAAGGAAAATTAAAAATAATAAAAGGGCAATGTGACACAAGTGCAAAAATTCAGGGTATTGAAAAATATTCATATGTGTATGTAGGGCATATCAAAGGAAAAGTTACCGAAGAAACGATGTTGGATTATCTTAAGGAGCAATGGCCTGAAGTTGGTTTTCAAGTTAAAGCATTAGAAAATAAAGGAAACAACAGCAGTTTTAAAGTAAGTCTGGAAATAAAGAATAAAGAAATATTATTTAAATCTGAAAAATGGCCTCAGGGGGTAATAGTCAAGGAATACAAATTTTTTCGAAAGACAGCAGAAAATTAGTTATCCTTAAATAATGCATTATAATATCCAAGGGTTACAAAACAAAATAGACAGCTTAAATTATATACTACAAAAACAAAATATTGAGTTTTTATGCATAAGTGAACATTGGCTAAATGAATCTGAAATTAAACTGGTAAAATTACACAACTTTACATTAGTGAACTATTTTTCACGAAATCAGTTTTCCAGGAGAGGTGTGTGCATCTTTGCAAATAATTTGAATGTTTCTTGTAAGCCATATTATTGTAAATCTATAGAAAAAAGTTTTGAAATAGCAGCAATTCAGTGTTCCTTGAAAAATGTATCTTTTCCTGTTTTTGTTGTATGTATTTATAGAACTCCAGACAGTGATTTTGGTATATTTATAGATAATTTAGAAAAATTTATGAAAAATATTTTTAAAAAACAAGCATATTTTATAATATGTGGGGATTATAATATAAATTTTCTTAAAAATTCACAGGCAAAAAATGTATTGGTAGATTTAATGTTAGAATATAATTTAAAATATAAAGTTAACGTTCCAACACGCATAACGCCTTTCAGCCAAACTTGTGTAGACAATGTTTTTACAAATTTGGATATGCAAAATATTTCTGTAGATGATACATTTTTATCTGATCACACATATCAAATATATGAACTTAACCTTGCCACAATAAAATATGCTATACATGATGTTGTTACTTGTAGGGATTATTCCCAAGAAAATATTGATACATTTTTAAACACTTTAAACTCTGAAAATTGGCATGAAGTATATAATGAAAATAATTCAAATACAAAATTTGATATTTTTTACAATATTTTTTTTGTCATCATACTATTTGTGTTTTCCTTTAGTTGAAAAGGTATATAAACATAAACCTAAACAGTGGTTTACAAAGGATTTAAAGGAAATGCATTCCTTATTATGTGAAATGGATAAAATATCTAAAACAATTAATAACTAACAATACACTTTGCGTTATAAAAATTTAAAAAAAATGTATAATGATAAAATAAACTTAGCAAAAAAGAAATTTAATGACAAAAAACTAATTAATTCAAATAATATTAGTAAAGAAAGCTGGAAAATTATAAATAATGAAACCAAATATAAAAAGAATTTAAAAATATCCGAAATAAAATTCAATAACAGAATAGTAAGTAATTCTAAAGAAATCAGCAATATATTAAATAACACTTTTTTAAATATCTTTAAAAACCATAATGCTCCAAATCTAACGGTAAACTCAACCACTTCCAACTTTTTTTAGATCATTTTATCTAAACCCGGTGACTTCTCAAGAAATTGTAAGAACAATTATTAAAACTAGTAAAAAATTTACACCTGGTATTGATGACGTAAATGGTAAAATTTTAGATATGTCAAAAGAACTTTCATTTATGAATGGTGAGTATCCGTCTGCACTTAAATGTTCAAAATGCATGCCCATTTATAAAAATAAAGGAAGCAAATCTGATCCTCTAAATTACAGACCTGTGAGTCTTCAAAACCAGTTTAGTAAAATAATAGATACATTGTACTTTTTGAATTTCAAAATGGCTTTAGGAAAAACAAGTCCACTAACACAGCAATCGAAGTGCTTTGAATTTTATTTTTAAAAGTTTAAATGAAAAACAGCATGTTGTTGGACTGTTTTATGACCTTAGTCGTGCATTTGATACTATAAATCACAAATTATTATTAAAGAAACTTGAAAGTATAGGAGTTAGAGGAGTTACAAATAAATGGATAGAATCATATCTATTGGATAGAACCCAAGTGGTATCTATTAATGGTGAAAAATCAGATATATCCAAAGTAGAACTGGGAGTACCTCAAGGATCGATATTGGGGCCACTTTTATTTTTGATATTTGTAAATAATTTAAATTTAAATACAAACATAAATGAGAAAATTATTCTTTATGCAGATGATACCAACCTTATAAGGTTTGAATAATATATTATTCAAAATAATAATATTTCAAACTTATGCTCCGAAGCCTCTTTAAAATCTAACTTGTTCAATAAATGGTGTGAGGAAAATGGACTAACTATTAATAAAAACAAAACATTTTATATGAGATTTTTACCAAAAAATGTTTCTCCAGATTACGATTTATTTATTGCAATTTTGGGTAAGTCAATTGAATCTGTGGAAAGCATAAAGTTCTTGGGTATTTACTTGGATCGAAATGTAACATGGGAAACACAAATAAATAAGTTCTGCTTGCTATGTAATAAGCCCAAGTAGCACAATTAGTTAAATTAACGTTAAATTTACGTTATGACTGGTTAATTCATTTAAGTAATATTGTACTACAACGTTAAATTAACCTTAAATTAACGATATTTTGTAATAAGTGGGGAATTCAATTATGGTAAAATTAACGTTATGTTAGTTAAATGTAACTTCTTGGTTAATGTACCTTTTGGTTAACAAGAAGTTAATATTTGGTAGTTTATGGTTTATTCTACCCTTTTTTAACTACTTTTTAACTCTTAAGTTCACTTAAACTATAATTAACCGGTTTAAGTTTATTTTAACTATATAATAATTAAATATGGTTATGTATATCTATAGATATGACTTACAGATCCTTAGAATAAAATGTCGCCCTAAATATTAATACTCATATATAAATATATATATATATTAATTAATGTCTTAATGTTTAAAGGGAAAAACAAATGGGGCATTTTTTTTTTTTTGATAAAATAGTACATAATACTTTCATATTTTAAATGCGCTTTGAAAAAAATAAGAAATAAAGAAAATAAAAATTAAAAAAAATATTTTTGGTTGCCTAATTTTTCTTTATTTTGTTTAAAATTGATTTAAAATACCTTTAAACATAAAATAATATTATGTTTTATTATTGGTTTGTTTACATTACCTTATTTTTGGAATAAAACAAATTATTAAAATTAATGGCATTTCCTTTTGTTAGAATGGACAGCAAACAACATGGCGATTTTATGATGCTTTTACTTATTGGTTACATAACCAATTGTGTTTAATTTAACTACTTTATTTACCTATCCGTAATTTATAACTCTTTGGTTTTGGTTTAAATTCGGTTAATGTAATACATTATAGTTAATAATTACCAAAATTAGTTAAATTAAACTAACTTGTTATTTTTAAAATAACTAACCTAAAACAATTCCCGCCGATTTTACGTTCTGATTTAAGTTGCAGCACTGCTTTATTTTTATATCTGTTCTGTTATAAACGTGTTTAATATATTATATACCCTGTGATCTGTGAGTTTACCTAATCAAAGGTAATAAAATCTTACAATTTAGTGTAAAATGAATACAATAGTTGGTAAGTATAATTATTAGTAAATATATTAATTTTGAGTTTTATAGGTTATAATATAACCAATAAAACTCAAAACTAACCGTTATAATATCAAAAAGGATATAATATCTTGTCAAAATATACCGCATTATGGCTAAAACATGTTTTTACAGATATTTTTATTTTGTTTCAGAAGTATTAACATGGGATGTAGTTGCATTTAAAGAAAAGAAAGGCACTAGCATATGTGCTGTGCCTTCATTGTGGGTGCAAAAGGTGGGCACAAAAAATTATGTATATTGGCCTAAATCCAATGTCACCAAGTTGAGACAAATTGCAGGATCCGTTCCCGAAGAAACTTGGGATAATTATGAATGTATTATTAAAAAAACCCAAATTAAAACATATAAGGAAGCCCTGATTTGGGAATCAGTTTTAATAGAGGCCAATACGGATGAAGAGCCAGGGTAAATAATAATAAATTATAATTAATATTAATTAATAAATAATTATATTTTCTTAATAAATAAAATTAATTTTTTTAAGTTATCGATAATTATAATAATGTCAATTTTAGCATTAACATTGTTGGGCCACAAAATTGCCTAATGGATAATTATAATTTATATTTTGAGAATTTTTAAAATGCTTCAAATATCAGTACCAAAGATGTTAATTTAAGTTACATACCACAAAGTAGAAATACTAGTACTACTACATCTAACAGTGCATCTTTAGGTTTAACAACACTTAATTTGGATGAACTAAATAATAAAATTAATAGAGGTAATTATATTAATTTTTTATTTAGGATATGTATTAAATTAATATATCCTAAAAATAATTTAATAATGATAATTTTTAGTTGAACAAAAATGTGACAACATTATCAAAGATAATGCAGGGATCAAAGAAGTCTTGGATAATATAGAAAAACTAATTAGGTCCCAACTTCAACACCATATTGAACCTGAGATACTTGATTGCACAGATTTTGTAAATTTATTTATATTTCCACTTAACTCCCCAGAAGAAATAATGGATTTAGACAAAACAATATTGTTAAACAGAGAATATAACAAATATTTTGAAAACTTTTTTTTAAACAAATTTGGTCAGGATGGTAAAGGAGATGGAAACAAATTGGAAAAAAAAATGATTGATATTATTTTTACTCCAAGTTGTCTAACCAGCTTTTCCTGGACCGGTAGGCTTTTATTTTAAAAAATTAAAATTATTTACTTAATAAAATTATTTTAGGCCATTCCAAATCAGGTAAAAAAAAAATCATTCAGTATGTTGGTGGGTTTTTTAAAATCCTTTACACAAATAATGGAAAAAGTGGACTGCAAATGGACCATCACAGAGACTGAAAAATTCTTTAAAACAAAGCTTCTTAAATTCTCTGTCCAAAGAGAGAAGGTGGCATTAGCAAAAATGGAAAAGGCAAAAGGGTTAATATTAAATAAGGAGAATAAAGAAAACAAAGAAATAACTGAAAACACAGAAATGACTGAAACCACAGAAATGAATGAAAACACAGAAATGACTGAAAACAACAATATAACAGAAATAATAATAAATAGACTGTTTTCAAAAGCACATAATTGAAGAAATATTTCATATTATCCGAGATATTATCTCTATTTTCTATAACATGTTTGGAGTTTGTTTTTTACACAAAATCTCGTCCCCCAACCTAATTGTGGAAAAAAGGTTCTTGAGTATAAAACTAATACACTATTTAAATAGAAAATCTTCCAAACGCCTTGTTTAAGAATAACTAAACAGTATTATTTTATAATATTACTATTTTTCCACAACTAGGTTTGGATGTCGAGTTTGGGATATCCCGTACCTGCAAAAACTATTATTTTATATATTTATTATAATATTATTAGTTTGTATTATCAAAATGTACCTGTGATTTACTTAAATAGAATAACAACCTTAATTTTTTTTATCTATTTTAAAATTTTTGATTTGTTATATAATATAATAATTTATTATAATTTAAGGAGTTAGAACTGAAACGTATAAGGGTTTGTTGTAATATTTCTTTTCTAAAAAAAGATTTTCCAAGATCAAAACGAGTCTTTTACTTATACGCTTTCAGTTACACCCACTTTGTTTGTTGTTTATTTTTAAATATTTTTTTTATTTTATTTATTTAATAAAAGTTTATTTTTGATCAAATAAATTTTCATTTAAATTTTATTTATTTTACAATAGAGAGCCAAACTCTAGGTTTTAACTCCACATTAGGTACATTTTTTGTCTGCTTTTCTGCTCCTTCCAATGGTAAACAGTCCTGGCTTACTTAGTTTTTGATACATTAACACCCTAATACAATTTGGCATTGTATACAATTTAAGGTGGAAATTTCTTAATTATAATAAAACAAAATGTATATTTTTATTTGTAGGTATATTTTTATATTATAAAAATAGGTATATCCCTAAGTAAAAATATACATTTTGTTTTGTTATAATTAAGAAATATCCTCCTTAAATTACAATTTTTTATACTACTCTTAATAATATACATATACAATATACTTAACGAATATTTTATATAATGCATATATGCATTACCTTAAATATATGCAAGGTTTTAATATAATAATAATATATATATATATATATATATATATAATATATATTATATATGATAAGAAATGTCTGCATTTATTGCAGAACAAATAATGCTAGATAAATACAAGGGGTGTTGCATACTTTGAAATCAATGTGTACTATAAACAGGGTAAGGTTTAAAAGTAAAAAAATGATATGATCTTATAATTTATTAAAAGTATGTATAAGTGGTATAAAAACATGCATATTTTGTTGTTTTATTAAAAACATTTTACATTTAATAACATCGATATCATACATTTGTAACAATCCATCTAATTGAATTTCTGAAGTATATATATATAAATAACTAGATTTAAAAGGTTCTATAAAATAATCAAGAATTTTTTGTTGCTTTATACCATAAATATATATTTAATTATTAAAAGAAGTGGCATTTTTCATGCACACTATTTCTAAATTTTTTGTTAAAAACCAACAATTCTTTATATTATCAGAAAGTATAAAGTTTTCAAAGATTACTTTTCCATAGGTACCTTTATAGGCTGGATCAAATTCATGCTTTTTGCTTAAGATATTAGAAACAATTGTTTTAAATGGTTTATTTATTTTTGTTGGTAAACTTAATTTTGATAACTCAATAACTCTTTTGGATACTTGGTTTAAAGGTAAATTTCCTGATTGAAGTAAATTTTTTAAATATCCCAAAAAATTTTCAAATGGGTAAGAACTTATTTCTGTTAAGGGTCCAAATTTTTTTACTTCCTCAACAACATGGCATAAATTATGCACATTCATACTAATTGAATCCCTGCCATATATACATATATATTTTTTAATATAATCTTTTATGAGATTATCTGCAATTAAAATATATTTTTCATGTTCATGGCTAGATAATATTCTATAAGCACTAGTTAACAATAAAAAATGATTATAAGCATCCTTATTTAAAAATTCTTTTAATACTACCATTCCTGTATATAATAATAGAGTTCTATATTCAGTCCCTTTCCAATATTTTAAAAAATTTAAGCCTCGAATGGATCTTGGTATTTCTGAGGGTTTTGTTTCATTTGTTAATTGTAATAAATTTGATAAAGAATTTATTTGGGTGGCAGAAAATTTTGTTTTAAAATTGTAACTTCCATTGCACCACCCGTATATACATTTTCTCATAATACCTGTAATAAAAATATATAATATAAATAAATAAGTAGATAATATATACATTAACATATATAGATATATATGTACAATTGGCGTCCCCGAAATGTGAACGACAAAATTTAATCGTGTAATATGGGCTTTGCATCAGTGTCGTCGGTAGTTGTCAAATTTAATGATAGTTGTCAATTGCAAAATCAAAAATTCCACCCCACTGAGGCTCAGAGGTCCAGGACAATACGTCACCCTAATATAACAAGGTTGTATGTTAAAAAACCGAAAAATTTGAGTTTATGCTTCCACAAGGTTTTATGTAATCCACCCTTGACATACAACTTGAAAATATCTCTATATATATGTATACATAGAATATACATTGTATAGAGTTGTTTTTAAATGGTATGTGAAGCGTAGGCCACGTATAATCCTGTAGAAACATAAACTTAAATTTTTCGTTTTTTTTTTTACATACAACCTTGTTATATTAGGGTGACGAATAGCCAAATTAAAATAAAATTGGTCTGTGGCTGCAAATTTAAATATCTGTAAAGGGTGCATATTTTATATCAAGAAACGTTGGCAAGAACAACAAAGATTATCAGGCAAGGTGTATGTAAAATCTCCAAAGAAAATGAAGTCAATACTCTTGTCGCACATATTAGTTAAAATCCTTTTAATAGCGCAGTTAAGGTCCGAGAAGATACACAATTTCCAGGATCTCTTTAACAGCTGGCTTAAAAAACTGTGATGCTGCTCATAAGGATTTTTTAACTGACGAAAATAAGCCCAGGAGAGTCCATCTAAATTATGAAGAGGGATTTTGGAATAATGTTAAAATTTCTGATGAAAAAACGTTCCAATCTTGCAATAATAGAAGGTGGCGTGTATATCGTCCAAGAGACGCAAGATTGAGAATAACTACACATTAAGAACCTCAAATAGTGGACGATTTTCCATAAATATTTGGGAGTTGATAAGCGTCCATGGTGCGGGAATATGTTGGGAAATTGATGGTAGATTAACTGCTATACGACGATTTTTGACAACGTTATGCTACCTTCAGTTAGACATGTGTTTCCAGAAAATGTTAGGTATATTCCAACATGTTAGAAAACTGTATAGTATACAAAAATGATTCTAATATATATTATATTACAGGACAATGCACCAGTTCACACAGCTCGCGTGGTTACAGAGTGGGTAAACAACAACCACATAACTGTTTTGCCATGGCCAGCTAGAAGTCCTGACTTAAACCCCATTGAAAACGTGTGGTTTCATAGTTAAAAAATTATATCAACGGGACTTTGGGCCAGCAAACCGAAATGATCTACGGAATGCTATTGAAAATTCTTGGGAAGAGCTTGCTGAGTCATACGACATGGAATACCTAATAATGTCAATTTCAAGAAGATTGCAAAGTGTTGTGGCAGCTAATGGCTCTGCAATTAAGTATTAAAATAGCTTATGAGCAGCAGCACAGTTTTTTAAGCCAGCAAACCGAAATGATCTACGGAATGCTGTTGAAAATTCTTGGGAAGAGCGTGCTGAGTCATACGATATGCGTTACCTAATAATGTCCATGCCAAGAAGATTGCAAAGTGTTGTGGCAGCTAATGGCTCTGCAATTAAGTATTAAAATAGCTTATGAGCAGCAGTACAGTTTTTTAAGCCAGCAAACCGAAATGATCTACGGAATGCTATTAAAAATTCTTGGGAAGAGCTTGCTGAGTCATGCGACTAGTAATGTCCATGCCAAGAAGATTGCAAAGTGTTGTGGCAGCTAATGGCTCTGTAATTAAGTATTAAAATAGCTTATGAGCAGCAGCACAGTTTTTTAAGCCAGCAAACCGAAATGATCCACGGAATGCTGTTGAAAATTATTGGGAAGAGCTTAAGACAGTTAAATCTGCAGCTATTTCACTTAAAGACCAATTTTCTTGAGCAATATGTTAAATTGGCTATGATATTTTTATTTGTTAATTACCTACTTGTTAATATTGTTGTACAAAATAAAAATTAAAGTTAATTTATTTGTAATATTGTATATATTACTGTTTGTTAAAATATAATTAAAAATTATTCTTATTCTTAGTATTATCCCCTCTATTTGTAACACCACTGGCCAAAGCCAGGAATAAACGAATTAATTTTATGAAAAAAATCCATGACAACCAAAAATCGTTCACATTTCGAGGACGCCAATTGTACATAAAATAAAAAAAAGGTTTTAACTTACCAAGGTCAAATAAATGCAAAGAGTCTGAAACAATGATGTCTTCCACCAAATCCATGGGTAATTTCTCTAATGGTGTATTCATTTTATGGTGGTCTAAATCACTTTTGCTTCTAAAATCACTATCTGTACGACGAAGGCAATCAATTCTTGGAAAGCTCATATGGTGTCCTTTTTTATCGTACTCTCCAAGTACGGTGCATTTTATGCATCCATGTTCGGCATTAAAACCAACCACTCCTAAAAACAAACTTTTAATATTATATAAATAATCTTAGAGTGCTTTCAATTTCGGAACAACACCCATAGGCAAGGTTTACACTATGGTGGTATACCAAAATGAAGTTTTATCTGATCTACCTTTTATGTAACTTCTTGCAGGAGTATCACAAACAAAACATCTTATTTTAATGTTGATTTTTTTATCTCCAATTTTTAGTCCTTTGTCTATAATGGCATTCATTTCTTTAACAAATGGCTCTAAATATAACTCTAGTGGAGGTTTTCCTTGCCCATAATAAATTGCAGCAACCATTGGTTTTATTGTAGGGAGTTCAGTTATTTTGTATAAAATGGGCCAAAATTCTTTACCTGAACTTTTAAATGGAGATATT